CGTGACTATACCGGCTCCTATGTGTTAATTTTAATCCTGATCAATTCTTTTTTTCCGATATTACACCTGATGACCTCCTCAACTCCCTTCAAAAGTTGAAAAAGACTTCCAACCCATCAACTCTTAATGATTTCCGCCCAATTTCTCTCCTCTCAAACCTTTAGAGCAACTAGTTCAAACGCAGATATCAGTCTTTTTAGAACAGAATAACCTCCTAAATTCCAACTAGTCCGGTTTCCGACCTGACTACTCCACTCAATCTGCCCTCATTAAAATTTCCCAAGACAATCATACAGCCATGGACCAGCAGAAACTCATCATCCTTATTCTCCTTGACTTCTCCAAAGCCTTTGACTCAGTAGACCACAAAATTCTCCTAACCAAGCTTATTAATATTTCCTTCTCAACTAGTACCCTTAATTGGATCCAATCCTTCCTATCCGACCACTCCCAGTATGTTGTAGTCCCCAATAACCCCCCATCAGAATCTTTACCCTTGTCCAGGGGTGTCCCACAAGGCTCCTCTTTATCTCCTACCCTTTTTTCCATCTACATCAATGACCTTTCATTCAGTATCCTACACTGTCAATACCATCTGTACGCCCACGACATCCAGATTTATCTCTCCTTCAATCCAACCGAACCCTCTGGTGCCATCCAAAAATTACAGGAAGATATAAACGCAATATGTGCCTGGGCAAATTACAATAGGATTACTCTAAACGCCAATAAGACGAAAGCCATCCTGATCTGATCTCCCTCACTCATCAAATCCTTACAGATACTCCCCAATCTTTTCCTGAACAACTCACCGATCTCATTCCATACTTCCGTAAAAAACCATGGTTTTATATTCGATTAAACCCTCTTCTGGAAACCATACATCTCACAAATTTCCCGTTGTACTATCTCTACCCTGAAACAGTTTAACCGTCTCCGCTATCTCCTTCCATATAAATCCCGTCAACTCCTGGTTTCCTCCCTTGTGTTCCCAACTTTGACTATGGCTGTCTGGCGTACGGCGGACACTCGGGAGAATTTGAGGCCAAACTTAAACGCCTAATGAACTGCGCAATACTTTTTGTTTTCGGAATCTCTTGAGAGACAACGCATATAACCCAGTATTACACCAAGTTGAAGTGGCTCTATCCATCCAACCGCCGTCTGTACTTCCTTGCTACCTTTCTATATATAGTCATCAGAACTCAGCGGCCTACAATTCAAATATTCCATTCATTCCCGTCTTACTAGATCTCGTATCTCTGACCTCTATCCACCTCCCCACCGAACTGCAATGTTTGACAAATCCTTTATAATTCAAGCCATCTTCTTCTGGAATACCACCCCTCCCGATACCCGACATGTACTATCAGCTTCCTCATTTAAATCTCTCCTTTTTAACCACCTACTCCTTTCCCAACCCGATTGATCATGAAATGTAGATAAGAGAACTTTTAAAGTTCCCCCAGAAATGATTTTCTTTACTTATGCTATTTGCCATGTTTGTATTATACATATCAGTATTTTTTTAGTGTAATAGTTCTATTTTTTGTTTTATTCTTTTTCCAAAATCTTAATCTTAATAAGAATTGTAAATAATTAATTTTATGTATGGCCACACAGGCATTTATTCTGCAACTGTAATTTGTAAAGGGACAACAGTCCCAGGATAATGAAAAAATATTTTCATTTCTTTTCATTCTTCGTCACGATCACTTATTTCTCCTTTAATTAATCATCGAATCCTTTCATTTTTTATATTTAACAATTATTTATGCCAGAGTCAGTTGTGAAATGGTTAATTATTTCAAATAAAAAAAAATGAAAGGTACTTTAGAGGACATCAACCTCGTAAGAGAACATCAATAAGAATAAAACCTACATTATAATAAAATAATGTAGGTTGTATTCTGAGTGATATTGTCTTATATGGCTTAAATAGCTAATTTTCAATATTTCTTCCTCTAAAGTACCTTTCATTGTTTTTATTTGAAATAATTGATCATTTCACAATTAACTCAGATATAAAAAAATGAATGAATAAGGCTTTCGTAGCATGAGCTTAATATAAAACAGACTCTGACAATATTATATACATAAACCTATGTGGTTTTCAAAAATATTATCGTTTCTATTAGTTAATATTTAATTGAACAGATGCCTGCGAAGCGTTTGATTTGCAGATTCAGAACACATTCTTTCAGCACAAGCCCATACACCAATTCACATGGAGTAAACCTGGATTCTAAACGTCTATACTGGATTATTGCATCACCAGACAAAAATCATGTTGTAAAGTGGAAGATGAGAGGGTGTTCAGAGGTTGGGAATGTGGAACTGATCACTTTATGCTCCGGATCAAGATTCTTTTCCCGTGGAAAGGTGGACGGGGTCTAAAAGAGGGACGCTGCAAAGCAGAAAGTATCACCGAAGTACAAACTATATCTCCTTATGGAGGACAGTTTTGGAAGGTTATACAGAAGCAGACTAGAGGAAAAAATAGATCTGAGCCAGGGAAGCAATCTTTCGGAAAAATATGAATACTTAAGGGAGTGCATCCACGCAGCAGTCTGGGGGCGTTAGGGTGTGATGAAAAGAAAAAAAAACCAGATTGGTGGTCTGAAGAGGTCTCGGATTTGGTGGAGGCCAAAAAAGAAGCATATAAGAAGTACCTAGCATCAAACAAGGACCAGGACTGGATTACCTACAGAGCTCTGAACAAACGTGTAAAGCAGGAAGTTGTAAAGGAGAAGAATAACTCCTGGGAGAGATGCTGCCAGAAAATAGATGGGACACTGGGCTTCAATCGAGTGAGAGAAGCTTAGAGTATTTTGAGGAGCTTGAGGGCACAACGTAAGGGCAATGTTATTTCGTCTATCAGTGAGGACACATGGAAAAAACATTATGAGACCCTCCTTAATGAAAGTAGAGCGAAGTTTATGGCACAAGAGGGCAACGCACAGGAAGACTCCAAGCCGGACCATATGCAAGTAACGGAGGAAGAAGTGAGGGCTACTGTAGGCAGAGCTAAAAGCGGAACAGCTCCAGCACCGGGGGGGGGGGGGCTTAGATATGGAACTTTAAAAGGCTGGCAGAGATAAGATGCTTATACTCATCACAAATGTGATGAACATGGTCCTGAAAAGATGTGATCTACCTGATGATCTCCGAACAGGATAAATCTGCTCCATCTTTAAAAAGGAGATAGGAAGCAATGCCAGAATTATCGTGGCATCTGTGTACAGAGCTCAGTAAGTAGGATTGTCAGGAGACTTGTCCGGGATAAGCTCGAAGGAGACTACACCACACCAGTGGTACAAAATGGTTTCACTGCCGGGAGATCTTGTATGGACAATATTTTTGTACTCCGGCAGCTCATTGAGAAATGCAGGGCGAAGAATAGGGAGCTTCATTGATCTGGAGCAGGCATATTATAGTGTTCCTAGGAAAAGAATATGGCCAGCACTGAGAAGAGCGGGTATTAATGAATCCACGGTACAAGCAAATCAACACTTGTATGGAAGTGATCTGTACAGAGTGAAGATTGAGAACCGCCTCTCTGGACCATTTTCTGGAACCAAAGGGCTGAAGCAGGGGTGTTGTATATCTCCAAGCACTTTCAAGATATACTTGGATAAGATTGTGAAGCAATGGATGAGACGAAGTCGAGACTACGGAGTTTACTTTGATGACGAGCTCCTTACTCTGTTCTTTGCAGAATATCAAGTAGTGATGGCCTGGAAGAAAGTTTTTCTGGAGATGGTGGTTGTCCAATTAAAGAAAGTTTATGAAGAGGCAGGTCTCAGGATAAACTTCCAAAAGACTGAGTATATGGCACTGGGAGATGAGGAAGACGATCTATGCATAGGTGAACAGGTGTGCAGAAGAAGAATAAAGGCATTTAAATACCTCGGGTCCTATCAAGACGATCTTGGAATGTCCGAAACAAGGTAGAGATGGCAAGAAAAGCAACTTGAATCCTGCATCCTGTTCTCTGGAACGACGCTATTTCAAACGCGAACAAGCGGCGTATCTTCACGGCTATTGTCGAGTCCATATTAACCTACGGATGTGAGGCATGGTCAATGAATGCTGGCTTGTATGTCAAAACTCAGAATGTAGAAATGGATTTTTGGAGGTTTCTACAATTAACGAGGCTGGACAGAGTCCGAAATGAAGTGGTGAGACAGAGAATAGTTGTAAAAGAGAATGTCTCTGGGATGATTGGAAAACGGCGATTGAAGTGGTATGGGCACTCTTGTTGGACTAAAAATATTTTGTGGCACTTATAATTATTTATTATTATCAAGAGAGAATCACTTTATTTTCATAAAAAGGGTGCTGCCCAATTATATTGGATTGCTACGGACACAGCATACTTATCAATCATTATGGACAATTTTTAAAACTAATATACAACTTTACAATATCATTAATACATTTGAGCATAGCACACAATATTTTTTTTATGTATTATTTTTTTCTATGCCGTCGTAATTAATTGTTATATCAGGGCTTAAATGGTTAACTTTCAATATTGGCTTCCTCTTAAGTGAATTTATTTTTTTAATTTGAAATAATTAACCATTTAACATTATTCTTTGATATAAAAAATAGTTAAATATAAAATATGAAAGAATTTGATAATTAACTAAAGGAGAAATAAGACATTAAAATTTTCGATAAAATCCATAATTTCTGCATCGTGGTTTTGGCCCCTAAAAAAAATGCTATAATTTTACTGGTTTTTTTTTACATATATTTCCAAATGCAATGAGAAAATTCATTTGTGAACTTCAGTTTCAGCATTGCAAAAAACTGCAGAGAAACAGACTATTTGAATTATTTCCACATCCATTCTATTTTTTTAACTTTGAGGCAGTCATTTATCAAAACACAACCAGGAATATTGTAAGTCAATGTGAATTCTGTTTTAGTGACAAATTTCTTGCATCACATTTAACTTATACATAATTAACTAAACTGGTATGTCTTCATACCTGTAGCTCATAAAGTTCATTAGAGTAGTTGCCATACTCCACCATTCCACCAAAAACTAAGATTCTAGTGTTGTCAACAACAAATCCATAAGCAGCACATCCAGGAGGGATGTCACCTTTAAGAGCCGGAATAAACCACTTATTAGTAGCTAAAAAAAACAAACGAACAACAAATTATTAAAAATATGAGACTATAAATTTGATCAGTAACCATTACATATAAATACAGACACACATTTGTTTATGTATTCTTTGAATTTTTTATTTTTTTATGGATAGGAGAGAGGGGAGGGGGTCAAGGACAATGTCATGGATTTTGAGTTGTGTTTCAAATTATAATTACAAATGTCATGGATTTTTAGTTGTGTTACAAATTATAATTACAAAGTGGAACACCTACCATTATATAACGATATCATTTGGTTCACTACACAAAGAAACACACATGTTGAAATTAAAAAAATACACTTACCCACTACTCACAAGCACATTCTACATTGTGCTTTTGAAGGCATGGAACTTACTTTTAAGTAATGACCATGGAACTTACTTTTAAGTAATAATTTAATAGATTTAATATTGTAAAAGTTTTGAGAATAAAGTTTTATACCTAGTTCTACCATAAGTACAGTTACAAAAGTTGAACTTTGATTACATCCTTGGATATTATTCAGATAATTATTACCTCTATGAGGTTATTTTCTTTACATGTCAGGATAATAATCTCAATAAGTTTGTATTTTTCTTTTGCTCAGTTAACATGGAATGGGATGATAAAGAAAACTGAATAGCTGTGATCACATTACACGAAGTTGGAAAATGTAGGTCAGAGATTTTCAACACTATGAAACCTTTGGGTATCAGCCGTATGTTCGTGTACCGCACTATAGATAGATATAATGAGACCCTATCGGTATCTGACAGACCTCGACCCTGCATTGTGAGAACGGCGAATGCAGTGAGAGCAGTGGCTGCTCAAATCAGAAGAAATTCCATTCGAAAACAACAAATCATGTCTTAGGAAATGAGAATCTCTGTCAGATCAATGTCTCGCATAATAAAAAGTGATCTTAGGATGGGTGCATTTCGAAGAATGACAAGACAAAAGCTAACCACTTCTCTAAAAAAAACTAGAGTGAATAGATGCAAAGTGCTCCTTACCCATAACACCAATGGTCTTCATTGAAAGATTTTGAAGATAGAATCAACAAAGATGCAATAGAACTGCATACAGATAAATGGAAAGAAATAATCCAAGAAAGGCAGAGATGGAGCAGACTTGCTAAGGTGGCAAAAGATCTATATGGTCTGTAATGCCAACAGAAAATATATATATATATATATATATATATATATATATATATATATATATTGCTACGTATCGATTTGGTTTTATTGATTTTTATAACGGGATGCCACTGAATAATTATTGAAGATAATTATCCAGAATTAGTTAAGAAAATATTAGTTAAACAAATTATGTCATTTGACATATTGGTCCTTGATCAATTTATTGGATTAGTTCTCACAAACGCTTGTTGTGTGTTTATCTGTTTTCTAATTACCAAACATTACCTGTGATTTTAATGATATCAATAGGTGGCATGATTAAAATAACTTTTATGTACAAATTATGTTTATTTACAAATTATATAATAAAGACTGTTATATACATTATATTTACAAAAATTACTGAACTAAACAAATGGTTGTGAAGGCATGATTCAAATGGATGGAATTTAAAATTACATTGCCATTAAATATTTAAACATCTTTACAGGAATTATTGGGAATTACTTATCTAATATGTTATTTGAAGTGGTGTATGGCATGGCTGCATCTGCAAAGTCATGGGTAATGTTTCAGTCCTCCAGCAAGAAGAAAACATCAGGGACCTCCTCAGGGCCGGGCAGCTACATCAGACCTCTCTTCTAGGTCGGGCAATCGCATAAGACCTCTTCTCTATGGCGGGCAGTGGCGTAAGCCCAAAAAGCCTTTCTTCTATCCATCTCAGTGGGTTTTATTACCATATTTTGGGTGGGGCAATTGTTCCCATTGGTTCAATTTTTGTAGCAGAAGGGATGACCACACCCCCAGCGATATGTTGAACACACCCCTTTTAGCAGGTACACGACCGTTTCTTCCTATGCTTAAGAGTTAAAAGCTTTTTGATCCTCTTTAAACATAAGACTGGGCCTTTGGTGTTTTTGGCCAACATGTGTCGTCAAGTACTTCTATTGCTAGTGGGTGTGCTAAGAATATTCTCAAGAGTGCTAAAAGGTTACCTCAGGGGATTATCAGGTATCCCGACCACTATCTAAGTAACCACTTACAAAAGGTTGGGTCGGGGGTTTCAGGTGCCCGCCCAGGTGTTAGAAATTATTTTTAAATATTATTAATTACCATTAGGCTAAGTTCAATACATAGCAATATATATATATATATATATGTATGTTAAACTTAGCTATAACGAATTTTTTTAATTGTTAGAAAATTCTTTAGAATCTTTTATTAGGAAAAAAATTTGTCTGCATGAATTTATTATATTTTTATTTTTAATTAAATATATTTCATTCTTTTGTCAAATATAAAGCATATTTTGTTTAAAAAATTGTGTACGTATCTTCATAGTACCTGACATAACTATATAGTCATTAGAACTATTATATTTAAAAAAGATGTAAAGTATTTATTACAGGGACAAATTTAATAATAAAGGAATAAAATATATACAGGTATATACTTAATATATGGTTTATTAGGTATCAAATAGATATTAAAAATATCAAACCCGATCAGTAATCAATTACAGTTGGATTAAAATATCAGATACAATTATTGGGATATTAAGCCCTAGAGCCAGTATGCATACAGCTCAGGTATCTACTCTTCAGTGTATCAGAGCAAAATATCCGATACCAGTATCAGATAAAAATACCTGATACAAGTATCAGATAAAGAATAATAGGAAGGTAATTAATAACTACTGACCCATTTGTATCATATACAAAAACGTACCACTATGACTTGTATCTTGATACAAAAATTCCAGTATCAACCTATCCCTAACTTATACCTCAATCTCACCTCCACTTCCCGTGAATGAACCTTTGATTTCGGGAAATCTGCCAGACACATCCATCAGAACTTCATTCACTACCTTACACGATCATTCGGAACGTCATTAGTACCTTGGAATGCAATGACCGTGTAGTGTCCCCTATACCAAATCAGCTAAGGAGTGGAGTTTGATTTTCATCAATCATTCTTTTATTGTTTCAAGACTTTTCACAATTGTTTTCTCTAAATGATAGTGTAGACAATGAACTCACTAGGTAATGTGTTTCTGTGTGTTAGTTTTTTTTTATTGAGCACAAAAACAACTACTACTGGGATACGGACAATACCTCTTGTTCCAGTAGTAGACAAAAGTGTCTACTACTAGAAAACTCAACTTTTTTGTAGTAACAATTGAATATCATCTATAGTTCTATTCTAAGCATGGGAGTGTTCGATTTTTTCCCAGGAAATGTCTTGTTCCTATTTACCTACAAATGTAATTTAAAAAATAAATTTATTGTTTTTTGCATTTTTGAAGTTTTGATTTTTTTAAAAATCATAGTTCCTTGGTAAAAACTGCCAATATAGGTGCATATTTGATTAGAAATAAATTAAATATATTAACTAAGTGGTGTTAACTACTGGTACACTGATGTCTACGATTGGTGAAAAAACATGTTCTCGAACATTATCTAAAAAAACGACCGAAATATCAATGTTAAGTTATCTATAGCAAAAAAAGGAAGCTTGAAAAGAATCTAACGAGTTACATTTTAAATTATTAGAAGTCTCACAATAGTGTCTACTACTGGTGACTTTACTTTACAGCATGCTCTGACATTACAACTTTATGAAATGTTAATCGAAATGCTAAATTTATCCTAATAAATAATGATCACAATAAAAATAATTTCTATGTTTATGACCTATGATAAACACAAGACCCAGTACTCATTAAGATTAGGCACAACTATAAACAAAAATAAATATAGAGCAATGAATTAAAAATACAATAATTTAACGGTGCTTGTTCAAATTGAAAATTTTGTAATAAAAACTTTCCTTCAGTAAATTGCTTCTAGTACATTTTTGGGGGGGGGGAATCTATCTCTAAGGCCATTAAATTTTCTGCTTGTTTTATTTGAAACATGCTGGAGAATCATAAAGATATGGGATCGAAAAATCTGCAAAAATGTCAGAATAAAAATAGATAAGTTTTAGTTAGACCTTAAGAACTATTTTATACTATTATAAATGTTTATCATTGTATGCAAATAAGATGGTCAATCTATTTTATGTATTCCATCCACAGTATAATTGTGATAATCTAGAACACAGCAACCATTCAAGAGATTTTTGGTTAATGTAGATATTACATTAACATCAATGGCATATTATACCGATATTTTAAAGAAACTTATGACCATAACATACCAAATTTAAATGTAGTTTAATTAATATTGTTTGTAGGCATCAAAATTAAGGATTATTGTTAAGTTTTTGTTTTCAGTGCATATTCGAAAAAATTACTTTTGTTCACTAAATTATTGATATCATAAGATTAGAAAATAATCAATCCCAAGGCATCAAAAATTACCACCTATGCAATTTATAAGTGTATATTCAATCCAGTAATGCAACATTCTGAATTAAAGTGATATAATGAATTTTCAATTACTGTGGAACTGGCACATTTCTCCTTGAATTATAACACAAACATAATCTTAATATAATAGTTAGTATGAAAATAGGGTAATCAACATCAAAATATATATAAATAGAATTTAAAGCAGAAGAAACATATTAAAAAAAAAGTATAAATAAATGATTGAGCTATTAACTCTTAAGTCTAGGAATTATAAAAGGTGTATAACTACCAGAAGTTCAGAAAAAAAATCAAATTAAATTGATAACTATTGAACAAAAAGGAGATAATAATTGAATCTATAAAATCTTCCTATGTTGTTAAGACTAGGCTGTAGAAATCAAACATTACCTATCACTTGTCACATATAAACAACCCACTGTTTACACTCCAATAATAAAAGAACAGTCTGTTCAGAAATAAATGTATATGACTGTTTTAAGATTTAGCATTTACCTGTATTACAAATAATCGACATCCATAAAAAAACGCCTCAACTAAATATAACAGAAATAATTAAATAATTTACGAAAAATGTACGCCATTGCTTCAAACTTATTTCACCGACCTGTGTTGTAGACGTGTAATTCATCAACAATCCCTTCATTTCCACCTCCAAAAACGACCATAAGTTCTTTAATAGCAACTGCCCTATGTCCATGTCGAGGTCTGGGTTGAGGGCCCGTTGAATCTGACACTTTTTTCCACCTAAGTATGGGTGCCGCCATACTTACAGTAACATCCCATCCATAGGAACACAAGCCACTGTGAAGTGAGGTTACTAAAGATCCCGCCAAGGAAGCAGTCTAAAGAACCTTCTAGACATAATAATGGAGCATTTTATCTAAAATAAATACATTGAAACGTCAACTATAGGAAAATGAAATTTATAATTTAAAAACAGAGATATTTTTTCTATCAACATTATAAAATCACTATCCTTAAATTTCACAATTCTATAATCGATTTGTGGTATATAATAACAATATCTATTTTACTGCTATACTTAGAGTAATAATATACATTAAATATTTTATAATTAACTTATTTAAAACATTAGCATCATAAACCATGATATAAAATTTCAATGATATAAACGAATACTCTCACTTAACTTGTATTCAGTTTTTGTTCATAGAGGTTTCTGAAACCGAGAGCTCAAGAAAATCTAAATGCAAAATACCAAATACTGATTGTAGCAATTTTAATATTAAAAAAAAAACTATGGTGAGTCCTTAAAACTACACGATAGAAGTGAAAACATCAACAAGATCAATTACGATTAATTATATGAAATATTCAAAACAGTCGTTATTATTTGGTTTTTGGCGCTATCATATTCTCTTTCCGATTTTCTAACTCGGCGTCACGTCATAATACAATTCTGAATTATAGTTCATTATATAGAGGATGAAACGCTGGACATTTCCCTCTATTACAGTATGCAGGTCCGATTATTAGTTTCTGAGATGTTTTAATTCAGGCCCGGTATGGCCAGGTCGGGTATCAGACGATCGCCCGAGAGCACCCGAACCAAAGGGGCCCTCGGATGAAAATCCAAAATCATTGTTCTATATTTTTCTAGGACCCCAAAAATAATTATTTTGTTTTCGTTGATACCCAAATTCATGGCGCCCTTCTGATGAGCCCTCAACTTAAATGATTTGTAGTTTTTTATGGCCGTAGAATGATTGAGGGCGCCCTCTGAGGGCCACAAATATCATTGTTTTATATTTATCTTGTACGGTCTTATGTTTGGCCCCCGAAATAAATTTTTTGTAAATTTAAATCCCTGAAAACCAGTTATATATAGTCCTGATTAGGGTGGCCCGCTTCAGTCTCCAGCCGAAGATCCCAAATGGAGCTATAGTGGATCAAAAAAGTATTGGCACACTTAACTTTTTTCAGGTTTCATTGAAAAAAAATCCGAAATTAATTTGCTAAAGAATTTTATTTAATAAAAGATTTAGAAAAACACATAATTGGGGTAAAAAAAAATTAAAGTTACTTAATTAAAAAAAAACAGTAAACGAAAAATCACTTTAACACGGTCAAATATGTATTGGCACACTTTAATTTAGGCTTTACTTCACGAAATGGAAATTTATTAATATTTTGTCATCATGCCATTGGCATCTATGACCTCCTGAAATCTTCTTGTTATAGATAAAACACAATTTTGAGTTAAATCTTGTCCAATTTGACGTCATTCCTCTGAAGAGGTTTCTTTTAAATAATTTTTAAAGAATTTTATTTTCTTACTTTCAAATCCTGATACTTTCAGTGTTTGAATACTTTCAAATTCTGACGTAGGAACATGGTGGCCCCATCACCCGGTCATAGGATCGCAAATAGCCACTGGCCCTCCAGATTGAGGGAACAGTCCACTGTTACAGCTACATCTACACTAATTACAGCACAGTATCCTCACCCCCACACTATATACTAAGGTCACATACATTACACACCCTAGAGTCACCTCCCCTAGGTAGTCTCCCCGGACGGGGGTGCAGATATACAAACATTAAGGTGGCAGTCCCATCAGTATACTAGGATACGGGTTGAGGGTTAGAAGCCTCTCTGCATAAAGTCTATATTTCGCCGAAACCAAAATCAGACTCGGATATCAATCGTCACAAACGGAAACAATCCAGCAACCCCTATAGGACTTTTAATCTCGGATACTGGAATATTCTTTCACTTTCGATAGCTGAGTTTCCAGTTTCTGACGCTTACTGCCAATTTCTGTATCTCCACCGCAGACAGAGCAAGTTGGTATTCAAGTTTTTTCAACTCTTCTTCCATCGTAATTACTACGTATAAACTGATTAAAAGCTTAAGTTAATTCGATTAGTAACCTTTCCGGAATTCCTGATACTATTGTCCGCGCGATGAAAATTCGGAATTCCTCCCGTGTTTCGGCACCACTTATGATCAGACTGAATGACTGAACTAAAAAAAAGAGGTTTTGGGGAAGAGTAACAGTACGCAGCTTCAAGAACAGCTAATTTTATTATTTAATTCATCCGGTATATATAGAGACAGTTTGTTTTTATATACAAAGGTTTCTTAATCCTAATAGTAACATTCTTCAGCCTCCACTGGCTTCTAATGCTAGTGATGCGGCTGGAAAAGTGGCACTGGGATCTCCTGGAGTTCTGCTTTACCTTCCACATGTGGGGGAAAAAGCCTGGCTCGGAGATTCTTGGGCGAATTATGTATTATGTACATATTGTACATAGGTATGAATGTGTTTAGAAGTTTTTATTTTATTTTGTTTGTTTATTTTTTCTTATTGATTTACTTTTTTTTATCAGTATTATTTGTTAACTTTTTATATTTATAGTTATTTCTTTATTATTTGTATATACTGTATGAATGAGAATTTCTAGCCTTAATACTTATAGCCCTCCAACAGTGGCTGATTGTATTATTATTCAATAAATAAATAAAATAAAATAAAAAAATAGTAACATCGTTCCTATTGATGTTTACAGCTTATCCACAGCTAACTTATACTTACATATATATATATATTAATAAGAAATATAAATATAATAATAATACAGTAATTTAATAATAAAGAATACAAATAGCAACAACAATACTTTAAATAACAATACTTTTATTTTACAACATACATGATTTATTAAATTTTGGGAGCCAAAATAGCTTAATAGCTTAGCGCTCTGTGAGTGCGCCGCCACAAAAATTCACATAAATATGAATCGAGGTATTGCCTCGCGATTCCTCGCTGTTTCTTATTTCTTCACTTAGCTGAGTCCCATAAACGTTCTATATGTTGAGTATGGACCCCAGCCGATGGATCAACGAATTTATAACGGTGATTTACCTGGAAATGGTTGTAGTTTGCTTCATTCAGTTATTGGGCGTTGTATCCTTTCCAACAGTCAGAATAAATGGTGCTTCCCTCTTCTATATTATTTTTAACACATTCTAATACAGTTCTTCCCTTTCTATCCTTTATTTTTACGATGAAACACTCGTCTGTTTCTCGACAAACTCCGCCAAACATCCATTGTTCAGGGAGAAATCTCCCTACATTATTTTTTCGTTTAGAAAAAAGACTCGTCTACTTCAACCACTTACCCAGGCCCTCCAATTTTCTTTGTTGACCCGTATACATGTTATGGCCACAAACCTCTCTTAAAAATTTGTTCCACATTATGATACATTTGTTCGATAGTTTCAGTGGCTCTTTGCCCCACTTTATTGTTGTCAAATTATGAGACCACCAATTAATAAATTTTAAAGCGGTTGAAAAAGTTATCTTCTACCCCTCTAACCACTGCCCTTTCCTTATTGATACCTTTTTCATACAACTCTTAGGAAAGCATCTCTATTTCGTCTTCCCGTCGAACTACATTTTATGAATTTCATCACAATATTTCACCTTCGCAATTATCCCTGCATCTAATATTTGATAGCCTCTTCTTCTGAAGATGTAATGTACATCAATGTAATTACATCAATTTTAATAACGCACAATGAATAAACAAACATGCAACAGCTCACACTATATAAAAAGGCAGGTTACGTGACTTAACGTAACATAAGATAGGAAGATGACGTAAGATAAGATAAGGGAGGTTTAGCAGAGCTCGTATCGTTCACAAGTACCTGTTTTTTTCCTATTTATCTTCAGTGTTGTTTTCTTTATTTTAAAGTTATTTTTTCTTCATACTTTTTTTTTTCTAGCCAAAGGTAAGTTTTTTCTTTTTATTTATTATTAGTTCTCTAAAACTTTTCTATTTTGTTAATATTTTCTTTTTGGGTTTGCTTTATATCTTCAGTTTATCTGTTCTTATTATAGTGTTCTTTTTTTTCTTACTATTATATATATATATATATATATATATATATATATATATATATATATATATATATATATATATATACACTGACAGGCAAAAAAAATTCCACCCACTTGATTTTTTCATGTTTTCATCTAAAAATATTTCTGCTTTGGATTGGTCTATTGTTTTTAATGAATAAATAGGTAATCTTTTTGTTTGTTTTCAATTAGGAATGTTAATATAGAGGACAATAACCCTTAATCCTTAATTCAATGAAATGATTCTAGATTCCAATGTTTACTTTCTATGGAATCAAAAAGTTTATTCAGTATCATTAGTTCAGTGCTGATTCTTGCAGCACATTTCTTAGTCTCCGGCTTTTATTTTTTTCAATATTAAGTTTAAAAATGCCTCTTAGTGCTGAGGATGTTGCGCGTCGTGTGGCACTTATTGATGATGGACGTTCCATTAGATATGCAGCTAATGCCATCGTAGTTCCATATGAAACTTTACGAGACCCTGTTAGGCGTTTTCGGGAAACTGGTTCTTACAATAGAAGGCCTGGTTCTTGATGACCTAGGGTAACAGAACCACGGGATGACCGGTTTTTGACTTTGAGAATTTTACGAAAACGGCACCTTACCGTTGTTCAAGCGATTCATCAGCTCGAAGAAGTTTGAGGTGTGCAAATTTCTGAACGTACCGCTCGGAGAAGATTAAATGAGTATGGATTAATGGCTTTTCGTCCAGTAAGAGGACCGGAGTTGACCAGAACTCACAGAGTAAAACGGCTAGCTTTTGCTCGAGAACACAGCCATTGGACTATGGACGAATGGAGTGTTGTACTTTTTACAGATGAGTCAAGATTCGCTCTTCGATCTCCAGACGGGCGTGAAAGGGTGTGGAGAAGAAACGAAAGATATGCAGCCTGTAATTTTTCCCAGAGCCAACCTTTCAAACGGGGTTCATTAA